GTGTCCCCCCAGAAGAGCTGCAGGAGGCGACCGGGGAGACGGAGGTCTTGGCATCTCTGCCACAAAGACCTCGATAAGTGATGGAAATTGAACACGTGTCAGGTTTGCACATTTCTACCACATACACTCAAAGCAAACTGATGGATTTAGAGCATTTCTGTGTGCTGTGTTTGTGAGGAGGGCCTACACCACAGCCTCTCAAACAGGAGATAACTGCAGCTGTTCATCACGGATCTCAATATCTGATTTCTGAGTATTGATTACAGCTGGAATTGATGTGTAATGTGAAAGTGAACGCACACGGTCGTATTCCGTCACCCTGCAGAGTGAGCGCGAGTAACGGTACTAACACCGATCTTATCTTCTGTCACACATCATAAGGAACGAGAGCTCAGCAGGTCTGATGTCCAGAAATGAGTCATGAGGATGTCACATCTTCCAACCATCTTAAAGGATGGCGTACTTACTAAACTACTTACTAAATTTCGACTTATTTTTTTGGAATTTTGGGGTTAGTAAGTCGAAATTTTGAGAAGATAACTCGAAATTTCGAGTTATGGATACTAGCTGTTTTGTTTTTATTTAGTGGCGGAAACGGGCTTCCATATAATTACACCCTAACCTTTATGCAGTGCCTTGAAAAAGTATTCATACTCTTTTGTCATCTTACATCCACAAACGTGGTGAGATTTTCTATGATAAACCAACACAAAGCAGCACATAATTGTGAAGTGGTACAAAAATAACATGGTTTTCAAAATTTTAAGCAAATAAAAATCTGAAAAGTGTGGCATCTGTATTCAGCTCCCCTGAGTCCTTACTTTGTAGAGCCATCTTTCGCTGCAATCACAGCTGCAAGTCTTTTGGGGTGTGCATCTAGAGACTGAAATTTTCCCCCATTCTTTGTTGCAAAAACAGCTCAAGCTCAGCCGGATCTGATGGAGAGCATCTGTCTCATTATATAACAGATCACATGACTCTGTGGTGACGTCATACAAGCATTTCTTCGGGAGCAGGTGTGGAGTTCACCTGAAGACCTCTTCAAATCCAACTGAACAATGTGAGCTCTGAAAATAACAAAAGTCACGTGACATCAAAGGGGCGTGGCCTACCTCCTCGATATTGCGAATCCAGTTCTTGATGTTGTCGAAGGACTTCTCGTTGGTGATGTCATACACCAGCATGATGCCCTAATGAACACAAGACAGGAAATGACATCAGCACAGGAAGTGCAAGCTGATTCCTGAGGTCAGGACCAGCTTGTGTTAACAAGGCCCTGCGTGATGTGAACCAGCTCAGGCCTCCTGGTTGTGGCTGGTCTCAACCAATCACCTGGCACTGAAGCAAATCAGGTGTACAGGTGTGCTCCCACATCAGAGTTTAAATCCAACTAGATAATTGAGTCATGGTCTCAGTTATCATGTTATTTCTTTTCTAATGTTTTTTTAAACTTTAGGTTTTAATTTGGACTAATGCTGATCTTCACAAGTTTTTTCCATTTTATTTCTATTGGTGTCATGTTTTTATTGTTTTACTCATCTATTGTTGGTTTCTATTTCTTTATGGATTAGCTTGAATGTGTCTTTTCCTGTTATCATTGCCTTTTGTTTGTTTGTGCTTCAGCTGGAATAAAATTTGCTGTATAAATAAAGGTTTTCTTGCTTGTTTCACTGGTGACCGACACGTTACCTGTGCATCAGCAGAGGGGTAACAGGAAGGGGGTGTGTCTTACCATGGCTCCTCTATAATAGGCCGTTGTGATGGTCCTGAACCTCTCCTGACCTGCTGTGTCCCTGCAGGAAGAAGCCACTGTTACACACCCGCACTGAGAGGCTCATTAAAAATATCCACACAACAAAACAGCCTCGAGTGTGAAACACCTGATTTCAGGTTTATCTCCTCTCAAAGCTCACACACGGACGCTGGAGCAGAGAGTGGCACTCACCAGATCTGCAGTTTGATTTTCTTTCCATCCAACTCGATCGTTCGGATTTTGAAGTCGATTCCTGAAAGAGAAACAACGGTCAGCTTCGAGCTCCGGACACAAACATATTTACAGCTCCAGAGACGCCAAAGCGTCATAGCAACGATCACGAGCAGACGCAGAGAGCGCTCGGGCTCACTCCGTCTTATTCTCTGCCCAACGACAGACTCAGAAAAGCAGGACTGATGGAATAATGAACAGTTACGATAAAAGCGGCTGTCAGTGAGTGCAGGAGTTTTATGCTTTTAAAAACTGCGGTCTGATGCAGAGGAAGCCCTGCTAGCAGGGCCATGTGGTTAAAACAAACGCTGAGGTGCGTTTGTTTCTCTTCTGCGTCTTAAATCTGTCAGCTGACTGGGTTTGTGCCTGCCTGGTCAAAGAGGAAGTCGAAGATATTTTTAAAAGCACTTCTTCCTGCCTGAGCAGAAGAAATGCTTCCAAGAAGCTGCGGATGTGAAGCCCTGACAGCTCGGGTTCCTCCTGCTCACAGCTGTTTGGGCTGCTGGTTCAAATCCCTGGGCTACAGCTCTAACCAAACCCCTCCCTCCTCAGGCCACTTCACCATCAGCTGCAACTGATTTCATTCATTCATTCATTGATCTTACAACTAATGACACAAGAAGTGAATGACTGATGAAACCATCCTGGCTCTTATGGACCCGTTCTATGGTTAAGTGTCTCATGTTTGAAGGATGTGCTGATTTAAGCAGAGAGCAGGTAATATTTTTATTTCCCCCACTGTTAAATTACTAACTTTGTCTTGGACTGATAGGATTGAGCCCTGCTAGAAGTGAACTTTCATCACATTCACATTCTCAATGACTTCATTGTGTCAAAAGACAACCAAAGAGCAACAAAAAACCCCCACCAATAAAATACAAAGAAATCCAGCAAAGAGTGGTACAAAGCCACCAACAGGAGGCGCACGACCGAGGAGCCAAACATTCAAGAGAGCAGCACAGACCCGCCAAAATAAAGCTCCCACCCTCCCCCCAAAAACAGAAAAATGAAACACTACTCTGTTTCCTTTTAGAGAAGAAGAACACGGGCAGGTTTCAACACTTTGTAAAGACTCACACGGCTCACGTTTATTCTCTGCGCCGAGTATCATCGCTGGTCACAACGGGCCTGATCATTAGAGTGTTACATTCTTTTATCGTGGCACACTAGAAGAGTCTGTTATTAGGTTGTAACTCATCAGTTCTTCCTGTTGTGGTTTTGGTGTATGCTGTGTTTTGTTTCGTTGCCATGTAAAGGCAACACATCGGCACATTAACTGTTTATAAAGGTGTCAACTTTTCTTATTTTGGGATGTTAGCGCTGGAGCTGTGGCTGTGCTTACAACATGATCAACCATCAAAGTGATGCCTCCGTGTGCCGTCTTTCTCAATCTCTCCTCTTATGAATCCACTGATGTAGGAAGTAGAGAACCGAATTTAATGTGAGCAAAGGCAGAAAACGAGTCAGCTGATTTCCTCTTTGCTTCTCTTCTTTGCTTCTCTTCTTCGGCTCAGACTAAACCTCTCCTCTTCCCTCCATTCTTCAGCAGCTCTTTCTATTCTCTCACCAGGAAGTGAAACATTTTCTGCTGCCTGTTACGGAAACATGCAGCGGACGAGGTCACTGACCTCCGCCATCTCCACCCACAACATAATGCTGCAGCTAACAGTTTCGTCTGCTGCTGATAAATCGAGCATTCTGCTTTAAGAAGCAAAACAGTAATGTCACAGTCCCCCGGGCATCAGCTGATCATTGTCAGATGAGACTTTAGAGTGGGCTCGTGTTAGCCCACTCCATGCCGTTAACTCCTGTGTTGCCTTGGTGGTGTGTTTTGAGTCATTGTCATGCTGGAAGACCCACCAACAACCCATCCTCAGTGTTGTGGCTGAGGGAAGGAGAGGAGAGGGAAAGGTCGTACTCAGCATTTCTCTTCCTCCAACACGGCGGATGCAGCCGATTCCAAAGAGCTCAACCTTGGTTTCACCCGACCACAGCACTTTCTCCAACCCTTCTCTGAATCATTTACGTTCTCTGACAAACATCCATTTCACTCCATTATGGCAGAGAGTGTTATCAGTGGTGCTCTTGGTGTCTGTGGTCCAAACTGCTTTCAGAGCATTAACAAGCTGCTCCTGTAGTTTTGGGCTGATCCACCACTTTTCTCATAATCATCCTGACCCAATGAGGCAAGACCTCACATAGAGCTCCTGAGGACAACTGACGGTCGTTTTATATTTCTACCATTTACGAATAATTGCACCAACAGCTGTCATCTTCTCCCCGAGCGCATTACAGCCTTGTTTAGATCTACAATCCTGTACCTGACGTCCTTTGACAGCTCTCGCCCGCGGTGGTAGAGCGGTGGTGTAGTTTATATCCATAACGAGATCAGGAGTGTCTGTGATTGAGTGACTGATTGATTGGTTGTAGGAGCCAGAGTTCTGGCTGGTGTGTAGGGGATCAACTACTTATTTCACTCAATGACATGCAAATCAATTTATATCTTTCAAGTCTATCCATTAAAATGAAACTACCAGAAGAATTACAGACTGTTTATTTCTTTGGAAGTAAGAATTAACATGTATTTAAAGCTTTAACAAAACCCCCAAAATAATGAAGAACTGCCAAATAAAAAAGGAAACTGCAAAAAGACAAAACTGTCTAAGAGTGAAACAAAACCAGAAAAAAGATGCAAAATGGCCAAAGTTACAAAAGACACAAAATGATCAAAGAAAAGGACAAAAACTCCAGAAATGAGACAAATGTGAAAAACAATCCCAAACAGCCAAAAACATGATGGAAAAAAACCCAACAGAAATAAAATGGCCGACGATACAAAAACCAAAAAAAGAGACAAACACTGAAATATACAGACTCGCCAAAGAGCAGAAGACGACCAGCAAAAACATTCAGACAAATATATTTTACAGACATGCTTAAATTTAATCGAAAAGCTCTGTGTGCTGCTTTAGAAACACATGAAACTCTCAACTAGTCCAAAATAGCTCCTTAGCCTTTGTAACATTTAATTAAGAAAAGTGAAAGACCTTTGACCCCGTAGTTTTTCAAACAGCCGGGCCTTCCGCCCTGAAACTTGCCTTTAACGCTCTGCAAAGTGGAGCTTTAGCTTAAGCGAAGGTACAATTCTGTTGTGACTCTTTTCAGTTCAGCTGCTTTCTGAAGCTTCAGTTTCTCGTCTGTGACTTTAAAACTTTTCTGACTAAAACATGTAGCCTGCCTGCTGTTAGCCAGCTCGCTCAGTTCGGTTGCATCCCTGTGCCAGTCGCACCTACAGCCGGGTTTAAGAAACCTAAAGTGACTCAAACTTGTGAATGTCTGGATTTGGCCCACATGCCTTCGATTCTGACAGAGAGGTTAAAAATTACCTTTTAAAACAATGAGAAGCAAAGTTTCTGCCTCAAACACAACAACTACAGAACAAACTCAGAGTGTTTTTGTCAATTAACTAACCAACCTGACAATCAGCTCATTGTTTGAGCTTTATAGAAGTCGGCACAGGTCTTAGGCAGGTAACGCTGCGACCGTCACTCACTGAAATAAAAACAGGAAGATGAATACCACACGAACACACACATACATCACGTTGACTCACGTTCATTTCCTGCTCCTACTCTAAGCATTTGCGCTCACATTTACATCGTGGTGGTTTTATTTTGTGTCCTCAGTAGGAAAGTAAGTCCTCACGGTGAGAACATGTAAAGTCTTATGTCCACACAACACGAAGAATGCACACGCACAAACACACACAGCCACACACAGCCTGCATCAGAGCTGAGGAAACCCGTAACTCAGTGTCAGTGTTTAAATACTCAGCACAAAGCAGCACTTAAACACAACATCACTGCCTTTTATAACATTTTATACCTTCTTCCTGCCTTCCTGTGTGCATGATGAAAAACGTATGTACACACACATGACAATCCTCCACATCATAGTGAGCAATACTTCTAAATATCACCATAAACCCCCCTTTGTGCTTCTGCTCGTACCTGTTTTTACTGCTCCTACTTCATATTTACATCACAGACAAGCACACTGGCTGTACCAGACTCCATCACTATAATAACAGTTTTCATTTCTTCTTCTTTGTTATTTTGGCAGTGCTGATCATCAATCACTCTGTGCACTTTTTATTGTTCAGTCTTCAGATGCATTAATAAAAAAACTTTCTGTGTTTAACCAGCTTACAGCGTGGTCACATGACGTTTCCAGCCAATTAAAATTCACCTCCATGCAGCCTGAAAAAGGATGTGATGTCAAATTTGTGATACAGGCAGTAACTATATATTGATCCAAGACTGTAACTGGCAATCCCACAAAGAGTAGCTGCCGTATGCAGCAGCAGGTGACCTTTGACCTATGAGCTCTAGTACCAGGTCTGGACCCCTCAAAACAGCTCTTTAATGCAACTTCCTCAAAAGTGGCCCTCACAGAGCCAGATACACTCACACATGCTCAGAGGTCAGCTGACTCTCACGAGACCTCTGACAGAGCAGCCACAGAGCGTCCTCTGTCCAAACGCCGCAGCAGAGGATTGTGGGAGCTCATGTAACATTCATGCAGCTCCGGCAAATGAACTGGGAACAACCCAGCAGAGAGTGGAGCGCTGTGAGAGGAAGACGACACCTTCAGGTGCCACTGTAAAAACCAGGGTTGTCGCTGTGTGGAAAGCCTGAAATTTACAGACAATAATCCCTCAGTTTACAAATCAAATAAATAAATCAGGGCGACACCGAGATAATGAGACGGCAGAGAGCTCAGCAGCTCACGCTCAGCTGTGAGGAGAGTCCACCCACCAATCAGCTGTTCAGATAATAGCTAACCAATCGAATGCCCGCACTATGAAGCAACCTGAGATCAGCAATCAGGCTAAAGATGTTACCAGCTCGATGAATCAGCCTAGACTTCAACAATCTAACAAATAATTCTAACCAATTCTGACCAATCAGAAACATGGACAGGTCTACTGGCAGCAGAGCGGCTGATGACAAAACTGTAATGAAACACATAACAAAGAGCGTGAGAGATAAACTGCTTTATGAATCTGAGAAGCTGGCCTGCAGAGCAAATATCTTTCAGTGCTCAGCGTGACAGGAAACAGGCTGCATAAATAAAGTTTATTTAAAGCCTTGGAGGAAAGCTGTGTTAAAATGTGACTGATGTTAAACTGTCAGGGAGCAAAAAAATAAAAGAACAAAAATAAAACCAGAATTTAAACCAGTAACACTCATCCTACAGCTTTAAACACAGTGACCTGCAGAGGCTCACATCTCATCAGCTGTGGCCAAATTTATGCCCTCCTTCCAGCTTCACACTTTCCACAGCCATCCAAGGGGCCCAATCGCAGCTTTTGACGATCCAGCTCTGGCCCCCAGCCATGTATTTGACACCCTGATAAATGCAGTAATCAGATTCGGCTGTAATTGTATCTCATTTTGCTAATGCAGCAAATACTTTGACATAATGTAAAAATACTTTAATTGTAGAGATCCGGAGCTGTGCATCCACTCAGTCAGCTATGAAGCAAATTACCTGCCGTTTAATGTTTATTACTTCCAAGTTAAAGACGAACAGGTGAAGTCAGGTCAGTGCAGATCCACCAGGACAAAGTAAAAATGTGACATCGTCACCCACTAATGAACCATCTCCAACACACTTAAACCTGACGTCACCTCGCCAAATCCTGCGTCATATTTCTGGCCTCAGGAACTTCCTGCTTCTGTCGTGACACATTTTTGCTGCTCTCTTTGAGTGTCCGCTGAAAATCTTTGAGGTTTTGAGGGATGTAAAGTCGTCACATAGACTTTTTCTGGCATTTTAATTACCAAACAAGTTAAGGAAATAATCAGTAATAAATAAGAGTAGCAATAACCTAACTCTTTAGCCAGTTTGATGACCTCAATCTTTTGTTTCTTTTTTCCCCAAAATAAAAGCTTCTATCAGTTCAGTCCCATCCCACACACACGCGCGCACGCACACACGTTCTTAAGCCTCTGTATAACCACTCACTTATATTTGATTTTACTCTGAATCCTCAGACCTCGTGGGGAGAGCCTGAAGAACCACCAAAAATGTCAATCACTGTGATACCAAAGACACAAACACACCCCCTACTACTTAAACACTCGCCGACAGATAGAAGAAGACAGCTCCCACTTCCTGTTTCCACCAGGAAGACAGCAGAGCGACACACTCCGCTGACGCACCGGAAACACACACACACACACACACACACACACACAGTCTTGCTTCTCTATCTCTGTGAGGACCTTTAGGATTCAGGGTCCCGGTCAGGGACCACCGAGGGTCCACACAAAGACAGAAGGCCTAAACTGCATCCTGCTCAATGTGAGACGTCACCAGGGCCTCATATGACCTTTGACCTGCCTCATGTAAGAACATCTTCCTCCAGATAAACGTCAGCACAGCTGCTTCCTGATGCAGCTGCTTACTGCAATTTATCGATGAACTTTTTGATGTTAATTAGCTCCACTGCGTCACTAAAGATCAGGAAATCAGTAAAGCTGCAGCTGATCTGTTTCCATCCACCTGCTTTTCACGACCATCTCCAAATTTAAAAAAAGGAGCTTTTTTACTGCCATTATATGAAGAAAAAAATCTAAAAAGTAATATAAATAAATCAAACACAACAACAGGGAATTACAAGTTAGTAATCTTTCTCATAAAAGTTCCATTAAAAAAAAAAATCGACAAAACTAATAAATTAACAGACGTTTCCGTCGTGTTTTCATCCACGTTTGATCGTCACAATTCCTGCTGTCGTTTCCGACTCTCTGCTGTGAGATTAACTACAGGAAGGTTTATATCTGAGCAACACAGCTGGACACATCCTCACTGTTAGACCACAAAAAGGGGAGCCTACATTTCCCATGATGCAACTCAGTGCCATCTTTCTAATGTTTCAAACTGCACGCTCTTCTCTGTGAAGCAGCCTTTCTGCCAGTGGCATCAAGTTTCAAACCGAAGCCGAGATATCTGAGAGCATCGCATGGATCTGCTTTGTCCAGCTGTTATTTTATCCAGCTGTTCATCCCAGGATGTAGAGCCCAAAGGCACATATTCTACTTCTATTATTTTTTTGGAGACAGAACAGACCATTATTAAAATAATGACAATAATTACAAAAAAATGTAAATAAATCATGACTATTTTGTACATTTTTGACTCTTTTTATGATTGTACATTCAGATGTACATCATCAGCTCTAAAACGTAGAGCCCAATGCAGTGGTATCTGCACATAGTGTATACAAAAAGAAAACTAAAAGTACAATTCTTAGGATAACTACACTCTGTAAAAATATTTTCAATCGTTTATTCTTTTACTCTCTGATTTTGGCATTACTCAAAAAAAAAAAAATAGTACTGTTAGACTTCATCTGAAAATGTCTGTTTAAAAATGAAGATTTATGAAAGCAAAATTTTGTCTAATTAATAATCAGATTCATGAAGTATGAGCTGTGATTTCTGTCAGTGAAACAAAACATTTTTTCCCCTCAAAGTAAAGTTAGGGTTTATTGAAAGAAATCAAAAACTTTGTATAAGTGGACCAAAGACGTACTTCTCTGGGCTCATCACAAAAAAATACATTTTCATCAGCTGCAGTTTGGTTTCGTAGGCTATGATTACTTTTTACAATATGTTAAAAAAGTAAATGAAAAATAGGTCCAACCAGAGTTATTATAATTTTGTAGTTTCATATTTTCAAATTGAATTTACTTTATTTCTCCACTTGGTTTGGTCTCAGTCAGTTTACTAGTTTCATTTTGTTTGGTAAAATGTTCTCTCTATTTGTGTTATTATTATTATTTTTCCTTTAAAATTGTTCAGTAAGGTCATACAAAATGATTAACCAAAGCAAACTGAGGCGGACTCTATAAGAAGTTTGTCCACATTTTAAAAACAAACAAACAAACAAAAATTCTAGTGGATCTTCTTAAAAATTCCTTTGATTTAGAACACGTTTCGTAACATCTGAGTTTTTTTCTTTTCTAAAGTTAAATAAAGTTGTTTTTAACCACACTGATTGTGAGTTTGTTAGACACGTGCGCTGATATTATTGATTACAGTATTGCTTATGATATTGATGATAATGAGTATTAGTAACTGGATGGGAAAAACCGTGGGAATGCTCCATTAAGTGATACTCGATCACTAATTAGTTAACAGATACATCACTTCACAACTACTGTATGTTTCTGAGGGGTCAGAGGTCACATGCTCCACACCACCCCACCCGAACGCTTTCACTTTTCCGGTCAGTTAGCTTGTGGCCTGGAGCTAGCCCTCCGTTCAGCCGGTGCACCGGGAAGAGGGTGATGAGGAGAAGACTCACCGATGGTGGAGATGAAGGTGGTGTTGAAGGCGTCCTCGCTGAACCGGAACAGCAGGCAGGTCTTGCCGACGCCGCTGTCCCCGATGAGCAGCAGCTTGAACAGGTAGTCGTACGTCTTCGCCATTTTCCCGCCGTTCGTCCGTCGGTCAGTCCGTGTGTCCCGGTGAGTTCACGGGGAACCTGCGGCCTGCTCCCTTTCTGCTGGGCGGACTGGCTTCACTGGGAGCGCTGGTTTCGTGTTGGTTCCACTCTGAGAGCAGCGACAAGCAGCAGGAAGCGCTCCGGCTGCAAGCTAGCCGGAATCTACCCCGCCCACATCCGGTCCCTTTTTTTCACAATAAGGCCAGCCTCTCCCAGCGTGCTCCGTTATTGATGATCGTTAGTAATTATAACATTTCACACGTATAAAGTCTGGAACAGAAACAACATCATAGGTAATTATTATTATTATTATTTAGTAGTAGTAGTAGTTTGCAAATAGGTGTGTACAGGGGTTTATGATAGTAAAATAGAGTAATGGTTATTTATTTCTTTATTCTAAATGTAATGAATTAATATAGTAAGTATTTTTGCTATTTAAGTTTTTTTCGTTTGTATCCCTCTGCCTCTTTAAACAATTTGTATGTGCTTTACAACTAAGTAATAAAAATGTTTTTAAGTGTTGACTGTGACATAATTAAATGAGTATATTAATAAAGCAAATCTGCAGTGTGCATTGTACTAACACAAAAATATTTACGATGCGTGTATCAGCTCCATGTGAAAGACTACCCTTGAAATTCAGCGAATATAAAAGTTTATTTTGATCTCTATATTTATGGATTTCTAAAAACAAATTATGAATATTTATGAAAAATATTAAAATATTATATGTGTAAATTGTTTCTTTTTCAGTTTGATATTTATTATTTAATTAATTTTATTCATTCTTTACTGTGACTTTATACAGTGGTTTTGAGCTCCTTTTTTAACATAATCTCCAACATGTTTCTGTTATTCGTGTTTTAAATTAAATAACTCACAATTATCTACATTTTTATATTTTGTTTTCAAAAGTTTAGTTTTCATTTCGATCACTGCGCTCTGCAGGTAAAAACAAATAATATTTTGAAAGTAAAACTGCTCTTTTTCCCGTTTGTATTCCGCAATTTGACGCAGCCAGGAAATAGGGGCGGGGTCACATGACGTAATTTGCAGGGAGGGAAAGGGTGATCATTATAAATATTATTATTTATATTGGTTTCTGTTTAGTTTATTATTATAAACATGAATTATGTGCTTGCAAATGGATCATGATTCTAACGTCTCTGGACTTTCAGACTGACTCCATCACAAGGTTAGGTCTTGTTTCATTTTCATGTTCATGACTTATTTCTGTTCAGTTTCAGTTTCTTCCTGTTGTTGGATTAAAGCTGCTCCACCCACTCTGCAAAAGTCTTGAGCCATCTGGCCCTCCAGTTGATCCACCTACTGTTTCTGATAAAGTCTCATCAGAAACAGTCTCAGTGGAGGGATGGCGATTCATCACAGCTGGATTTTTAGCAGTAACCCTTCTGTCCTTATTTGGACCCAGCAACTTTGGTTTAGAGCGATGACAGCAATATTTTTGGTAGAAATCCAGGGACTGGGATATTAAGACTGTAGAACGTGTACCTAACAAAGTGGTCAGAGTATGGAAAAGAGTGAAGACAGGTTTCTGTTTTTAAATAAAACAGTTTCTTGATGCTGCTGCTGATCCTGCCCCCCCCTTAAACTGGTATTGTTTAAAAGGTCAATACATAGTTATAGCCATTTCTCTTACAATTCATTTAGGTTAATTGGGCAAGGTTATTAAATGATCTCAACTCTGGGTAATAATAATGCTAAAATGTATAATCCCAGTTTGAACGACAAGATGTCGTAATGACTCATTGATTTAACAAGGTCATAATGAGGACATTCTCGTTTGCAGTGATGGCCTTGGGAGAAAGCCTCTTTAGGAAATGAGTGTTGCTAAAAAATAAGAAACGTCACATCTGGAACATTTCAACACACCCAGCGGTGAAACAGTGCCCTCTGGTGGTGAAGGTTTTAGCCCAATTGAGAGTAATTACAAAAAGCACCTTTATTGAAGTTAAGTAGAACCTCTCTCTGGTGCTGCCATGTTTCCTGATGGTTTGCTCAGTGTTCCACTCTGACTTTAACAGGATACGCTAAACTGTTTCTGAATAATTTCAAATAAAAACGAGTGTTAAGAGCAGATGCTAAACTTGAAGCATTAAAGCTGCATGTTTGAGTCCAAGTGTCTGAGGTGCAAAAGAAAAACAAAACAGAGGAGAGACCTTTCTTTGTAGAATTTTTATATATCCGGGTGAGTAGGAGTGAATAAAGCAGTAACAGGAAGTGGAAACAATAAATAAGAGGACCTTTTACCCGCAGTACTACTGTTACAAAAATACGATAAAGAATATGCGAATGGAACGAAGCACTGATACTGTCATTCATCTGATATTACAGTAAGAAACGCTCATCTCATGCTTCTTGGTGAAACTTGTGCGTTACGCTTGCTGTGAATGTTAAGGACTCAAGATCATGCTGCAGAAGCCCCGCCCCTCCACAGCCAGCAGCTCCAGAGAGATATGACGAGTCAGCAGGATAGGTGGGCGGGCGGGGGGAGCCTCCAACAGCGGCCTCTCCCCTGCAGCTTCAGCCCAGATCCTGGACACGACGGCAGATCTCAGCTGTGAACTCAGAGCACTTTGCACTTCCTCCCAGGTCCTTCGTCAGAACCTGAAACACAAACACATCAGTGAGCAGCAGCTCTTATTTCACAGGAATCTGCTCCAACCAGCAGGTGGTGCTGCTGACAGCCAGCCTGGACTAAAGTGCAGACCCATCCACAGCCACTGGGTGGTGCTCAAACTGACTTCTGTTGAATAAGCCTCCTAAGGCGTAACAATGTATCAACTGTCATCTCAGAAGAGCTCAACAGGAAGTATCCAGCAGCCTCCACTCAGATTAAAAGCAGCCCTGTCAGCAGAGTGTCATGTTTCCCGTCTGCTTCGCTCCAAGATACAGGAGTGTGACAAACCATTAGAAAACAGATCACACAAAGTGTGATTTTAAGGAGGTCGTCCTCCAGAATGCACAACTGAAAGTAAGTGTAAGATTTTTTCCTGGCGGTCCTGGAGTAACTGCAGCTTCTCTCTGAGAGCATTTTAGGTGTCCTCAATATCATTCCAGCTGTTATTAATGACATTAGCAGAGGTTCTCAGACTCCACTAGAGTGGCTTTGGACGATTCACAACTGAAAATAATCCTATTTATTCTGGGCGTCGATGAAACCAACCAGATCGCCTGATACATGCCGTTTAAGCTTCTCTGCTTTCTCTCGAGCTTTTCAGGCCACCTTGCTCGTGATTGGCTGCCCTTCATAAATAGAAGGTCGGAGGGTGGGGCTGCTAAGACACTCCCCTTTCTTTGTCATCATCCAAAACCAAGAGTAAAAATTCAGTGTTTGGATCAGTCGGAGCTTTTGGCACAATGAGTTACAGACACGCTGCTTTCATTGTTTGAAACTTCGACTTAAAGGAACAAAAATACTGGAGCCCTCCAAGGAGAGACTTCAGCCTCACCTTCTTGTCTCTGATGGTGTCAAAACAGGCCGTCTGGATCTTGTCGGCATGGTCATGCAGACCCATGTGACGCAGCATCATGACAGCACTCAGTAACAGGGCAGTGGGGTTCGCCAGGTCCATGCCGGCGATGTCAGGGGCGGTGCCGTGGACCTGCAGCACAAACATTCATTTTAGTTTGTCAGCAAAACAACAATAAATCTGCAGGTCTCCTGATTACAGACGTTTGGTCACAGGATTACAGGACTGGTTAACACTCAGATAATTACACTGTAAAACTGCCTGTTACAAGTTCAATCCAAGCATTCAGTTTTGTGGGAAAAATATCTTTTAAAGAGTTTTACTGATGGGATTTTTCTGTGTACCAGGTCGAGGTGGAGCTCAACATTACTTCACCCCAGGGCTCGACCGGAGCAGCTCTGCATAATTCACAGTTCAGATTAAATCCTTATTCATCCCTTTACTGACATTTTCAGTAGCTCCTGTCTCTTTAAGGATACGACTGCAGCTGCTTGTGTGTGTCCACAGTAAGGTTACAACTCAGGCAACTGCACAGACTCTCAAACTCATTCCCAAATGACCACAGTGACATCTCTGGGGTGAGAGCCCCCTCCCTAAATTTCTACTTCTACCAGCAGTAAATGAATCCCTGGGAATGGAGCTTTTGTTCCCAGGGAGTCATTTACCTCAGTGGAAAGACTAAGAACACCTGACATCATATAACAAATTACAGAAGATCAGAAAAGAATATTTAATCTTTTTAAAGCATCTGCTTTTAAAGATTGTACATGCTTTTTGTGCAGAACAACAAGCAAGTGCAGTAAAACTACAGCATGAAGAGTAAAGTACTCAGTGTATGAAGCACAATAAAAACAGATGAAGTATCATAACTCAGATGAAGCTGCACGGCACTAAAAAAGACAACGCCATACAAACCGATTCGAATATGGCGACTCCGTTGGCGCCGATGTTCCCGCTGGGAGTGACGCCGAGGCCTCCGATCAGACCAGCGCACAGATCGCTGAAACACAGTCACATGACCTCAGCACTTCCAATCACAGCCTCTGATTGGCAACACAGGTTTCAGAGCGAATAATTCACTGACCTCAGGATGTCTCCGTACAGGTTGGGCATCACCAGGACGTCAAACTGGGTTGGATCCTGGACCATCTGGAAAACACAAGCATCGGGACATGTCAGGAAAGTACGGAAGAGGATAAGGGCCACTGGAAACAAAACTAAACAAAAAGTGGGCACATCTTTCTTTCTTTTCCAGAATTCTGAGAAAAAAGTCAGAATTCTGACTTTTCTCAGAATTCTGGAAAAGCAATACTACTGAACACTGAAATTAACCCCCACGTCCATCCAGCTCTGAACACACTCATTAAACATAATTATTTCACTGTCTGGATTAATGAGGTAAACACATTAAATGCAGACTGTGAAACAGCTGCAGAACATCTGGCTGCTGAACTGTTTGGCGGACTCACATTGAGGCACACGGTGTCGAGGTACATCTCGGTAAACTTGATGTCTTTGTAGTTTTCAGCCACCTCGCGGCACTTTCTCAGAAAGAGACCGTCTGACATCCGCCTGCAAACAGAGTCGGAGTTACACAACAGCAACACAACATCTGCACTGCGGGGGAACACGACGCCTGACAGGGACAGAGTGTGTGAGTGACAAAACATGGGTGACATTTTATTTAAAGGAAACATAAATAATAACCCCCAAACTGTTTGACCTAATTCGATTAAATAAGTCCTCTAATCACTCCTCTCCCTCAGACGTGCAAGCTAAGGTGGAGTGATTACTTGGATTTTGGCTTTCAACAACTATTCTTTGTTCATTTATTTCCACTCTCCTTCTTTCTGTATGTTATCTCTAATCGACCCCTTTCCTTTACAGAGGTGCACTTGTGCCCCGTCCTAAAAGCTGAAACTCAGTAACCTGTGGACTGACTATCAACAGGTGGTAACCCTCGCTGGAGGCAGGCTGCCCACTGTCCATGTGAGATGGACTTTGGGTTTGGTGCATCTCCCAAGGGCCTCCGACTGGATGAATCTACCTCACCTCCATTTCTTTCCTGCTAATAAAGTGCTTTTGTTGGCAGTTACTGATGATTAGGAAGTCAAACCTTACACTGGTGAATAAATGAGTTGCCTGATCAGTTTTCTGAATTTGTTCTTCCTCGGCACACGAGGACTAAACATTCCGGTCTCACTGACTGACACACAGGGCGATGGGCTGCACTCACATGATGTTGGCTTTGTGGACGGCGGTCACGCTCGTTCTTTTGTTGTTCCTGGCGTACTCGAAGGCGTACTCAGCGATGCGTCTGCTAGCGTTCTCTGTGATCAGTTTGATGCTCTGAACAACACCGTCGACGATCTACGGCAACAAAAAGATAAGAAATGCACTGAAGTTACTCACAGCTGGACAGAACACAATCGAATCAACAATCAAACTGTGGAGGGACGCAAGAGACTGCACCTACTACCAGAAACACAGAAGGAAAAGATGGATGTGGCTGAATACACATCTGGCAAACTAGTGGAAATCAGTGGAAAACGGGGTAATTCTAATAGTGGATCCTCCTGCCTCCACACACATGCACGCAACAGGAAGCGTGTCTTCTGCGTTAGCCAATAGGTAACGGAGCAAAAAATAGAAGGTTACAGCTGGTTCGATTGATTTAAACGCTGCGTTTTAAAACAGGAAGTCGAGGAGACCCTGCAATTCAGTCAGGGGAAGATTAGTGTAACAGACCCTCCTGCAGCCTGTACCTGCAGCCTGTGCTGCTTCAACCTTTGTGCTCAGTCAAGGTTTCGGTGCCGTGCTGGTGCAGAAAAAGCTTCTCCACAGCTTTTCTGTGGAAATACATGGAACAGTTTCCAGATTAGGAAACGAGAGGTATGTGACGCACACAGGGAGGGGAGGCCTAATCTTTCAAAGATATAAAAGCATCGTTTTGGGGACATAATTAATCAGATATATACAAGGGGAGGTTTCAGACCTCTAGGACACTAGCAAACATCTTTTCCATGAGATTCGAGGTCTTTACCAAGTTAAACTTGTTCTCAAATAAGGTTTGACCTTACAGAGTTTCAGCTGCTGCAGTTATTAGTCCATCCTGAGGTCAGCTGTGGGTAAAAGTTGAGACAAGGAGGAGGGGCGACACGAATCACCAGATGGAGAACAGGTGGAGGTTCACAGGGGATGGATGTGAGACTTTACACACACACACACACACACGTTCACTGCCAGCTGGAAGATCTGCTCGGATGCCTCGTTCTTTGAACACGGACATCAGCGTTCATGCTAACAGGTTCTCCCTGCTGCTGGGCTTCGTGCTAACACCGTCTCCAGATCTGAGCTGACAGTGTGAATGCAGACGGATCCACGCCGGGAATGTGTGGGTGAACAGGTGAGCTTCAGGAAGCTGGCAGTGGTTCTGCGTATTCACAAAACATCCAGAAGCACCAAGAAGATTTAAAGGACCATTCCGCTTTATTTCAGCCTGCTGTGCTTTCCATTCACGTGTCTATGGTGTGTCTATGCCCAAATGTCTACAAAGGTGAAGGAGAGCAGAACAGGCTGAAACGAAGCAGAAATATTTGAAGGTTCAGAGGATTGTGCTTTAAACTTGAGTTGATAACAAATATCAAAGGATCTAATCAGCATAAGAAACTAACTGTCCAATCAGGAGTCCAGAGAATTAAAGACCTGGATCCACAGTCTGAATAAGGGAGCTGCTCAGTGCAGGATGATAGTTAGCATGCTCATCATGTCTGCAGCACAGTGAGCAGAATGTGAAACAGTCTCAGGTCCTTAGTTTGTGTCTTTTGGGATGAAAGTGAATCTATCAGAGGTGGAACGAGGTGCTCTGTGAATACGACTCTGGCGCCGCTTCCTCCTTCTTACCAGGAGAGACGAACAGGAGCAGAGCGTCCTGCCTGCAGCTGCTAGCTGACCTGCAGGGAACAGGTGAGGAGGCAGGTAGACCAACCAGTCAACACAGATAACAACACCTGCTAACAGCTTCCAGCAGCATCCTGACTCACACGCTAAAGAACTGGACAACAGTCACTGTGACAGATTCCTGCACACATTTGCTCATTGGTGATTATTTTTGTTTGAATACAGAAAAAAACCCTGACAGGCTGAAGGACAAAAGGATGCCATGCAGCTCCGAAATGAACAGGTGTGGATAATCCTGGCAGGGTGCACAGCCTTAATAAGTGTAAACTTGCTAGCTGTTGATGAACAGTGGTGGATGTTCACCTTAAAAACGGCCAAAGCTTCTAATAATGAGCTCAGTGTACCTACAGTAACCCCCGTGATCCAAAAGACCTCACACAGTTTTTTCTACTCCTGGCTCTGAATGATGTCAGCAACAGAGGAAATCCCTAATATGGTTATCTGAGGCAAAGAAGCCCCACCCACCTGTTGTTCAAACACTGTTTTTGAGGGGCAACCAATCGGAAGGAAGCTGACTTACAAGGGGAGGAGCTAAAACAGCTTGTTTCATGAACCACAGCAGCAGCAAGGCCCACTGTGTAGAATAAGTGAGGCTTATTTTGAAATGTGAATCATGCAAAGCTGCTCTGGCACAGTCCACAAATAAAAACAGAACAAAATGAAGCACTTTAAACAAATGCACTACCAAACGTTTCACATACTGTGTCAGAAAATTAAGCAGAACTCCTCTCTGTCTGCAGTTTGTGCATCGCCTGTGACGGCTGCTTTCACACACCTGTCAGGATTACTCAGGACAGCCCGCTGTAACCCTCTCAGCTTGGAGCTGTCGCACACTCGGCCTCCGTTCACTCACCATGTGTTCGATGCCGCTGTACTCGCCCTCCGTGTTCTCCCGGATGGTGACCAGGTTGACATCGGTGTACGGAGTCTTGTAGCCCTCGATAGAGACGCAGGGCCTCACGTTTGCGTACAGGTCAAAGGTCTTCCTGAGCAGCAGGTTCATGGAGGGGTGACCTGCAGCGATGGGTGTCTTCAGGGGTCCTGATGGAGAAAAAAAAATGTAAAAAACAAAAAACACTGACGAGCAGGAATCTTCCAGGAAATCTGTCTAAAGGTAACGGACACGTGCAGACCTTTCAGACCGATCTTGCTCCGGTCCATGGACTCTTTGGCGTCAGGAGGGATCATCCATCTGCCGCCAGGTCCCTTTATCGCCGTCACGTTCCTCTCCTCCCACGTGATTGGAGCCTTCAGAGGAAAATTTTATTTAGAAACTGATCCAAAACCAATCAGTGCCTCCCACCTGACCCTCTTAGAATAGCCAGCAGTGCTTTGTATTTATTTATTTCCAGCACGTTGAGCTCACATAACTTTATAAGAAAAGGTGATATCACATGAAATTTTCAGGGCTGAAAACACACTAAAGATTTATCAAAATGCTCTACCGCAGGGGTGTCAAAGTCCAGTCCATATCTGTGACACAGAGGAAGAGGTTTGCTCTATATTCTGATCATTTACTCGAGAAAACTTAAATAAAAAGTGTATTTTGGGTAACCCTTGAAGGGTACAAAGAACTAAAGAAGTTACGAGAGATGAAAAATGGTGAAAAAAAACAAGACTAATTAGAACGCACCAACTATCTTCCATGTACTTCGAGGTGCTTATAACTCAGAAAATACCCACAGCATTAAAGTACATTTTTTCATGGCTTTATTAAATACGTTAAAAGTTACTGTTCCAAAAATCCGCTGACTCTGAGAGGACTCAGGTGAGATCATTTTCCAGATTTGGCCTCTAAAGTCTGATCAAACTTGCCTTTGCTGCTTCAAAGATCTTCATGACAGCAGCGGAGATCTCTGGACCGATTCCATCACCGGGAATCATGGTGACTGTCTTCACCTGCAGAGACAGAGAGACACAACTCAGACAGCTGGAGCAGATCACAGTCCAGCCGAGATCAAGGAGTCTGCTTTCATGTAAAACATTTCCTGTTATTTATAAATGGATTTTCTGGGAGTTGTGAAGCGAAAAGCATCTCTTTGATTGCATCCCAGGAAGGCAGAGGTGGAGCTACTCACCCCTCTTGAAAAGGAGGCTGAAGCCAGAGCCGGTTTTCTGACCGCCACCCCCACTGCCTGGGTCAGCTGGAAGAGACGACATAAAGGTCAACTCAACACAAAACACACCAAAGCAGCTCAAAAACAACCTGATCATGATGGTTAGTCTGTGTTCAGCTGTTTGAAAACACTTGCTGTTGATGTGTAAAACAAAACTGCAAAGAATCACCTTGATTATTTGCTGCTGAGGCTTGAAACACTCCTAATAATTCATATTATAACATTTAAAAATGACTTGAGGAGCTTATATGTACAAACTTTAAGTTCTAGGGCTAAATTCAAGCATCAGTAACAAATTACAAGAAGGGAGAAAATTATTACCACCACTTCCGCTGTTCTGTTTTGTAGATCCTTTGCATGCTGATGTTGATTATTTTTGGATAATGTAGTATATCTCTCACATTTTTTTACTGCCTATTACATTACGGTGACTTTTTTCAATGCCGAGTTTATCTCAGGAGCCTCACATTATTTGACATCTTTTCCTTCAGTTAAAACGGGACCTGGAATTTAATCATAGTACGAGTTTAAGGTAAATTGCTTTATTTAAAAAGGGAGTCTGGTGTTCGTCTCCACATTAGTTAAAGCAAACATTTCTCAGCAGCCACACCTAGTTTGAGTCTACCAAGAACTAGCTACATGTTGAATTTCATGTATGCCGAAGTTATCAGAGGATATCCACTTTTCGTGAAATGTTTTCAACTAACTTCTACGATCTAATGATTCCATCTAAACTCTAAACTGAGCTTAAATTCGTGCAAATTTAAACGGAGGCTGACGTTGGTTTCTCCGTCACTCTAGTATGGATTTGGGGATCACAGAGAACTAAAGAGCAGAAAGAGCGGGACAGGTCGACGTATTGTCAAGGTAACCAGATTGAGGTTGGCGGAGGGGAATATGTAAAGTCAAAGTTGTATTAGACAGGTGAGACGAGGGTAAACGTCTCCGTCAGCTCCAGAAGCTTCCGTTCACGTGAAGGACGTGGGTTCCTGGCTAAGAGCTAACCAAGGTGCATCAGCTCGAAAAACACGCGGAGAGCGCGTAAAGACAGACAAAGTCACAAACACAGGCTTCAGGACACACACACAGCCCCGTTCATCTGTAACACACAGAGCTTTGGTGGTCTAAAACCGGGAATAAACACGGTGCTTCTTACCAGTGACCTCCACGCGTTGCCTGCCATTCTGCTCAGGAAGAGCTCTCCGAGATCGTCTCTGGAGGTGATGACTCACTCCGAGCTGCTGCCGAAAACCAGCCTGGACAAAGATCCTGTGCGAGCAAGATGACTCACACCGAGAGAGTTTTGTGGCTGTACGAGTCATTGACGCCACAGGCTGTTTTTGGCGCCACCTGCTGGACGCTGCACCACCATGAGTATTAGTGCTGCATTCAGGAGCAATTAGGAAGATCCGAATCTGCACAAACAAGGCAAAAGGGCGCTACTCTCCAGTCATCACCGTGATTAGAACATATTAAAAGTTTGTTCACTTCTCTTTTGTTTTTTTATTTGCTGTAATTAGGCTTTTTTTTTTTGTGGTTGCCATGTCTATTAATTATATCTTTTTTTGTTGCTCACTTAGTTTTATTTCTTTACTTATTTATTGGACAAAATGTATGTTTGTGTGAAACAAGAGAATTCGATTTATGTCATTTGAAAAATACACCTGTGTACATCACTTACCCCCTGGTGTCTGAGTAGTTTTTTGATTCTGAGGTTTATATTTTGAGAAAGAGCCACTGCTCCTGCTCTACCCAACACTTGATGTCCACTGTCAGAGCTTTAATCTCTAGACCTGCATGCAAAAAAAAACACTCAGACTCGTGTGCGTGCACTTTTGTTATTGACTTTACTTTGTTTACTGTGAGCTTAGAACCTGTGGCTCTAAGCTCAGAGCTGTGGCTTAGTGTTCAAATGATGTCTGGGATCTGATGGCACAGAACAGCCAGTGTAACATTCATCTCGAGAAAGAAAATCTGCAAACATAAATATCTGTATTTATTTTAGCATAACTTTATTATTATAAAAGGAAAAGAAACAAACAATACATGAAAAATCAGTTGAAAAAGAAAATGGGTTTTACAACTTTTACGCTGATTGAACCCAAGCTGGAAAGCAGATCGAAGAAATGTGTGGTTGAAATAAAGAAAGATGGATGTAAAGTTATAAAAAGTAATTCATTTAACATAAAAATAAACAAACATTCTGATAAAGTCATCGTACAGACTAATCTAATGATGTAATTCCAGAATTTCTTCCTGCATTTACAGTTCATGGTTTTCCAAGCAGCAGCTGAAAGCAGCACTGTGATGCCTGCACCTCCTCCTCCTGTCCTCTGAGGCGTCACAATCCTGTTTTCCTCCGCGTTGGGACCAGCAGCAGCAGCAGCAGCAGCATCAGGCTCGCAGACTGAGACCCGGATCAGGAGAGTGGATGTCCCGGCTGTGCGCAGACCTGCTGCCGGATGCAAAGTCAGCTCAGAGTGTGATGCAGCTGTGTGATGGGAGGATCCGCCGGCCAGGATGGGCAACAAGCAGACAACCTTCACCGAGGAACAGCTGGAGGCGTATCAGGTGAGGGGGGGCAGGATGGAGGCGGACAGCTGGATGTCCTTCAGAGTGGCGTGAAAGGTGGAGAGGTGTCTGCCTTCATGGCTCAGCAGAACGCAGACCACATCAGATCTGCCTCCTGCTGCTGATTGGCTCTGCATCCTGCTGCACTGGATGATGATGATGATGGTGGTGGTAGTGGTGAAGATGCTGAGTGATGGTGAAAGCAGATCCTCCCTGAGGACTGGCCGCTCTGACTCACTTTCTTCGTCTCTCTGTTTGTTCCCAGGACTGCACCTTCTTCACCCGGAAGGAAATCCTGCGGTGAGTGTGGCGCACGGCGAAAGTCTGCTGGTCTTCTTTTCTTTTTGAATCTACACCTTCATCACTCACTGAGGGAGAGGAACGACTGCAGCTCGGCTATTTTTCCTGCTGTGTATTGTAGGCGCGATGTGTTTACACAATGGTTGTGATGATTGGCTTTACTGTACTGGGATCTACTAAACTCACACTGAACGCAGCGCGCTTGGAGTATATTTTAATAGCTGATTGACTCATTTTAACGAAGCACAAAAGGAAACACTTTATATGCTTCACACACCTGTCCTGCATGGTGATACGACCCTTCAAAGTTTACTCAAAATGCACTTTTTGAAGTTTTCTCCAATAAGTAATTAGAAACAGATCAAACATCCACTGATGGTATTTCTGTTCCTCTACATCAAAGTGGATGTTACTAATGCTCAGAAAAGGTTACAGGAAGAATTGTACAAAACAAAAACCACATTTTAGCTTCAGATTGTGACACTTGAGTGGGCTTAAAGTGGATTTGGGTTGCATGCTTTAAACAGAGCTTAAATGAGTTTTTCCGCACTGGAAAGATCTCGTGTAGTCATGACGTTGTGAAGAAACAAAAATGCTGGGAAAAAAATTTGTGCAAAATTTCCACCCACAGCTATGCACCTCCAGGACCTGCAGCTCCACCTGTTTTCATAGTATGAGGTGAAACTGTTCAGTAGACTGAAGTGAGATTAACTGAGCTGATTTCAAACATCAAAACTGGATTTTTTTAACTTATTTTAAGATGACTTGTAGGCTGATTCACCGTTCCTGTATTTCCTGTCACATGACCCAGAGTTAGACCTTCATATTAAACCTGCACAGTTTAGAAAAGTAATGATTAAACGTATCTAAAGGAAATCCCTGTGAGCCAAACACTCAAACTTCAGATTGCTCTGAATGCTTTGATTCCATCATTTGGTGCCAGTATAGCTTCTTGAAGGGGGTGACCTTCAAGAAACAGTCCCTGGGTGGGAAAAATAAAGGTCAAGACTGAAACTCTAGAGGTGGAAATGAGCAGATTGGAGTCGCTCAGACAAACACTTTACAGCTACAGACGGACAGCGTCGGCGTGTTTCAGATTCTCCTTCCTTGTTCCAGCAGCTTTTATCTTAAGGTTGCATCATTTTGTTAGGAAGGCTTTGATCACTGACTGATGGAAACTTGTTGCTTTTCTCTCATCAGTCTGAAATTTGGGATCCTGAATGTAAAGTGTTATTAAAGTGAATGTATTAGACTCCTGTGTAAACTGCTGACTTTGCTCTAATGTGCTGCAGGTTACACGCTCGATATCGTGAGCTGGCGCCACATTTAGTGCCGCTGGACTACACCAACAACCCCGACATCAAAGTCCCGATGACGCTCATCGTCACCATGCCTGAACTGAAGGTACAGTTTGTACAGGTCAAAATTCTGCTGGCTGATGCAAGACTTTAAAACAAATGTGTCTCACATCCCGGTTTTTGTTGGCCGTTATGTTCAACTGTGTGATGTTTTGCGTCTGTGCTGACAGGAAAACCCGTTTAGAGAGAGAATCGTGGAGACGTTCTCCGAGGACGGACAGGGGAACCTGAGCTTCAGCGACTTCATCGATATGTTTTCTGCCCTCTGCGAAGCTTCACCCAGAGAGCTCAAGACCATTTACGCCTTCAAGATATACGGTAACGTGCGCCTTCAGGTGGAGAAGCTCGGGTTGGGTCTGAGATGACACACCTGTGGCAGCAATGTGCCTCGGCGAGTACTCGCTTCAGAATAAGTGCTGTTTTCCTGATTTAACCAAAAGTAGCATGACTATATAAAAGATTATTTTAATTAATTATTTCAACTTCGTAAGTATATCATTAAGAGAAAATTATTAATTCCTGGAAAATGATTATTATAATTTCTGAAAATATTAAAAGAAAGTAAAATGTTAATATACACAAATCTCTCTTAAATGTAAATAAAATGGCCAAAAATATGTGAATAAAAGAATTATCATTCGAAATAATCAAAAAATTTAATAATTATTATTAGTCTAAACATTATTCTTCTAAATATTAATTAAATGTCACTAAATTAACATTAAATGTCTAAATAGATTTAAATGGTCTCAAAATAATATATGAAAAATCTAAATAAAGTCTAAAAAAATGTATAGTTTACAAAATGATTTCATTATTTGCAGTTATTACTGTTGATTACATGGAGATTATTCGTAGAACAAGTTCAGGTTTTCGTGGCAGCTCAGTACTGAGTCGTCTCGTTGGGGATCTGGTCCAGACTTTAACAGGGACAACTTCATCTGTAAGGAGGACCTGGAGAAGACCCTGAACAAGCTGACCAAAGGGGAGCTGACGCCCGAGGAGGTCACGCTGGTGTGTGACAAAGCCATCGAGGAGGCCGACCTCGACGGAGACAACAAGCTCTCATTCGCCGACTTTGAGAACATGATCTCCAAGGCTCCTGACTTTCTGAGGTACCGTCACCTCTTCGGTTATGTGTTCATTTTTTAAAGTAAGGCAGAGACGTGGCTGCTCCTCTCCCACAAACCTCCACAGTGACAGCGCAAAGTTAGAAAAGTATGTGATTGGTTTTTTAATTCTTAATTTCTGTGTTTGGAATCGGTCCAAAGTGTTTTTTGCTGCTCAGACTGTTGTCTGACTGTTTCTTATATTTCCCCTCCAGGCTGTCATGGGGTGCTGTTGCCAGCTCATCACAATAATGTCACATAACACATCAGCTCTGTGCTCTCTGCTCTTGAAGCAGCATTTTTTGGAGGAAAATATGCTTTAGGGTCAGTTTTCTTCTGTTCTGCTGGCAGTATCACTAAAACACGATGATCTGCAGGGTTATCAACAGTTTTCATCCATCCACCACAAAAGCACACACTATTTTAGCTTTTTAAATCACAGTCAGCTGTACAGACTGTGCTGCGGCTCAGTATGATCCTCCCACTAATGCAGCGGTGTCAAACTTACTAAATGAGTCTTACTGTGCGCTGGAAGATATTTGTAGCTCTTGTTTGATCTGCTGCTCAACACACATCAGTTGTTTCACGATTGAGGCTGAACTGAGGGGCTGCATGAAGGGACAGCATCAAATCAATGAGAAGCTTCACCGTGAAGCTGCCGGCGGGATGTCTCCTGAAAGGACAGAGGATGGTTGTGATCCAGGTCCTGATCCAGGTCCTGATCCAGGTCCTGATCCTGGCTGTGAGTGTTTCTCACTCAGGCTGCTGAGTCTTCTGCTGCTCTGCATAAAGCTGCAGAGATAAAACCCACGAGTTTTACTGCTGGCAATCCATCACAGTGTCCCACAGTGAGCACAGAGGAGGGGTGAAGGGAGAGACAAGGGGAAGAAGAGTAGAGTGAGGAGGAGGAGGGTGCATTTATCAAGTCATTGAGTTCAGTCATTAATTTGTCTATCACACTGGACCGCCGCTCAGAGATAATAGCTGGAAACTGGGCTCAAGGGTTGGTGTTACTATGGCAACAGAAGCAGTTAAACTGTAAAAAGAGAAAGCTGGAAAGCCATTATGTTTACTAGCTGGTACATCACCTCCCGCGTCACCCTGGTTACGGTCGGCCAGTTAATCTGACGTCACAAAGCCGAGCGGCTCGACTGTCATAAACGTCGGCGTGAACGCGCGTCTGCAAGGTGCGGCGTGCAGATAGCAGCATTTACGCTCGTCCAGTCATTTATGTCTGCTTACAACAGACTCTGCAGCACCTGCTGCGGACCCCCAACCGGCCGGCCCTCCCTGAGCCCGGTTCTGCTGGAGTTTTCTTCTTGTTAAAAGGGACTTTTTCCTTCCCGTTGTCACCAAGTACTTGCTCATAGGGGGTCGTCTAATTGTGGAAGTTTTCTCTGTAGCACTGTGGGGTATTTACCCGACATTGTAAAGTAGTTTGAGGCAGCTCAAAGTGAGCATGTTTTCCAGTCGCTCTGCCCTGGAGGTGAATCCTATGAAACATTACATGCAAAGATAATTGTCAGAGTTTTAATTTAAAGAGTAAAAACAGACTCCTGACAGCAACTGAGATGCACCATTACCATCCTGCAGTTGATACAACGAGGCTAAATTTCACAGTTTCATCCAGTTACAGCCTGAGAGGTTCAAACAGTTAATGATGATTCAGTCAGTCCTAGAAGTCACCCACATCTGCTTGTTTTGTGTCTTCAGCAATTTCCACATACGAATATGAGGCAGCTGAGATCCTGCAGAGGAAAGACGTCTCTCTTCGACCCCGATTCCACCTGAACCTCGGACCCAGCTCGACTCAGTGCCTGTCCTTTCTACTGCCGGCGGGGAGTCTTCTTTCCTGAAAGATCCTGAGACCTGGACTGTCTCGATCACGCAGTCATTCCAGAGGGGATACGTTACTGCATGAAGCCTCTCTCTGGGATGGATTTTGAACTCAGCTTAGACAGGGCTGACTTTCTTCTCCCCTGTGGACGTTTCCGATTTTCTGAGAAACATCTGTGAGGACGGCGCCGCAGTGGATACAGAACAGGGCTTTTCTGAATTTAGTGCTTTTCAGAAAGGCCTCATCCAAAACTGGATTCTTTTTAAAAGCACATCTTTAAAGGGCAAAACAGTGAGGAGCTATGCAATCTTTCTCCATAAAGTGCATGTTGTAAATTGCTTCTAGCTGGTGAATTTGTACATCTGGTTTAGTGAAGCATTCTGGTGCATAACGACAATCATAGTAAACTGTAGCTCAGTTGATGGAAGGGCTCTCTCTGTCATCTCACCTGTACTCCTGGCTTTGATAAAACTTTTTCCTGCCTCCTACTAACTTGATATGACAGCTTTCACTCTTTCAAGACAAAATATTTTATGGCTAGAATCAAATAAAAGGTTGTTCTGTCACTCGATGCTTCACGAGGCTTCTTGTCTGAGAAAACCGATCCAGGTTCAGGCGAGGGCGTGAGCTGTTCCTCATCCTGCAGCTAAACACATCAGGTCTTAACATTGGTTTGTACCATCAAGTGTCTAGAGGAAAAACAGGAGGAGGTCCAGGAATGCTGTTGGTCTGCAGCTTTGAAGGTCTGAAGGTTTGCTCTGCTACAGGAAGACACTTCAAAGCACCTTTCACTGTAAGCCTTTCTCTTAATGCACAATTTATATGAGAAATGATTTACAATACTGCATAGTTTCACCTAGTAGGACTCTCACTGGGCTGTTGGTTACAGGGAGCACTGTCATGCTGGGGGAGGAGGTGGAGGAGCTGCAGTTTGGATGGGCCGTTCAGTCGTTACACTTTTAGAGCCTGCAGATAACACGTTATCTCAAACTTATCACTTTGGATTTAAATACTCTGCTAATCCACCGAAAGATTCAAACCCCACAAAAATCATTTTATCACAAATCTATTTATAATATAACTTTCCTTCCAGTTCACCCAGCTCAAATGTCTTCAAAAGATTTTTCCCCTAAAATTCTGAACGAGGACTGCAGAAAAGCAGCCAAGAGGAATTACTGGCTGGAATCATTTGCATTATCTGTACCCAGTCATGTCTAACAATAGAGGAATGACTACTCCTGTTCTGACCTCTAGAGACGTGATCCAGTCTACAGATCAGTTAGCGTAGCTGCTAGTGGTCTCCTGTAAACTGTGGGGTCAGAGTCGGCTGTAGTGATTCAAGGAATAAGAAATGGATGTGTAAAGACGGAGCTTCAGACATCCGTCTGTACTAAGAGGCCTGGAATTACTGGGAAACTAGAAGGTACAAGATGAGTTCACCTCTCCTTCACAGTACAGTCAGCTGGCTGTGAGTTTGAACTCTGGGTGGTGTGAATAAGCTGACGCGCCTCCTCCTGCAGCTGCTGTTCAGTTCAGGCTGCAGAGGCACATCCGTCCTGATTATCATGAGCAGCCAACTGTAGTGAAGACACGGCGTTCCTGCTGCTGCAGCACAGCAGCCTTCATCTGCTGGATTACACAACCTCCACCAGGACACACCTGACATTTACAGGTACAGCACACTGCACGCAGGGCAGGATGAGCACCCCGCAAGGCCACCAGTCTGTAATGATCTATGCAGCATATGCTAATCTCAACCAGGATAACAAAAAGATTAAATGTCGATTTTTGCCAAACGAGGTTTCTCTCTCTGCAGTGATGGTGGAGAAACGTGAGGTTAGCATACTGAGTCAGAAGAGTCACAACAACAATAAACAGGAAGTCAGTAATGTTAGTGTGTCAGCAGGTGGAGCTGCAGTAGTAGCACTTTAGTAGCACTCTAATTTGAATCGTTGACCGATGCCCTCAGACTCAAACACTTAAAAAACAAAACATTAAAAAATCAAAGGAACATTTTTGTGGGTAAATTGTCATCATGTTTTTCAATACAACCTGCTGAGACAACATGAATTTATTTCTATTTTATAGCACAGTCCTGAGAAAAGGCACGTTTTAACAGGACTCTATGCAGTCATGTGTAAAACTAAGCAAACATACTGCTTCCATTGGAATTAAGATGCTGCTAATCAAATGCACTTAGCTGATCATCTATAAATTTGTGCAACTGTATAAAAGCAGAGGTTTTGACATTTTGCCGTTGTGCATTAACACAATCACAAAGGAGTGGACGTCTCAGCAAATTCACACCAAGGTCAGACAACTTAAGACTTCTTTGTTATCAGTGTGATTTTTTTTCCCCCTTTTGAAAAACCCGTGAAGGTGTGCCAGGACTGTGGGAGAACAGACGGAGAGCAGGTACCAGGACCTGAGAGCAAAGAACCATCTTGCTCTGAGGTCGCAGTTCTAATCACTGTACTCATCTGAAATCAAACCGAGTCTGTAAGTATACCTCAAAACTAACAGGACACGTGGATTATCACCAGTAAGGTGCTTTTGTTGTCCATGTGGTGTCTATGCTGGAGGTGAAGCAGGTAAAGTCTGCAGACTACACGCTGCCAGACTTTAAATAACCACAGAGGAGAGTGTGTGATATTAGATTGTTGTGTAACTGAAGCTGAGGAGCATCGACGTGTTGGCAGGATGAAACAGCAGCTGATGATCAGCAGATAGCAACAACATCGACCTGTTTTCACTGACAGAAACATGAGACCAGTGTTGATCTGAGGTCAGTAGAATTTTAGCAGGAGCTGCGCTTCACATCCAACTCACAATTCATCCACAGAACAATTCATCCACAGAACAATTCATCCAGCAGTGCTTCTAGTTTTTAGCAATCACGTGTGTGCAATCAGCAGTGAACACATGGAGTTGAATTCATCCTCAGAAAGTGACAAAAATAATTTGCAATAAAATAAAATACTCCACGGATCAACAACATAATAATATAAAGAAGAAGAAAAATGATGACTAACAGATACCTTCCACACCGTGCTGGCTGTGTTGTGCCGTTTATTGTTTGCAGGTAGTTGTTCTGCTGTGTTACACTGACACCTGGTGGCGAGTGGTGGATTTACTGACAAACGTTTCTGTACTGAAACAGTAAAACGATTAAATAAGCACTGACCGAACTATTAGTGACCGGTGTGGTCGCAAAACCATGTTCGTTCGTTTGTTTTGTCAGATTTTATCCACCGTGCTGATGGACCCGGGAACTAATACGTTTCACAGATGTATATACAACCTTTACGTCCAAAATCCGGGGGATGTGACGTCAGAGGCGATGCTAGATTTGAGGTTTTAACATGAAATCTATAGACGATTCGTATGTAAATAAACGGATCGTTGTACAGCGAAAAAAATCCTCCCAACAGCTTACAGGAATCATATCGGGGAGGTCATGTCTGTTCGACTTTTAAATAATGAAATTTCCGACGATGTAAGCACGTGGTTCCATGGTGTAATGGTTAGCACTCTGGACTCTGAATCCAGCGATCCGAGTTCAAATCTCGGTGGAACCTACCCTCATTTTTCTCCTGACACACAGGAATAAATCCATCAAGTATAAAAAATAAAATTGACTGAATAAAGTCACAGCAGTTAGTAGAAGCGCAGCCCTGTGCGCAACTGTCATAGGACCAGGTGACATTCATACCTCATATCTTTACTTTTTGATATGAAATACAAGAAATACATGCAGTGATTTATTGAAAAGAGCAAATATAAATGTAAATGCAGCAGTCCGGCTTCTATGACCATCTTTATTCTTCAACACAACCTTAACTCTGTTAAGCATTAAAAAAAAATCTTATTCAGGAATAGATTTACAGGCTTGTTGAATCCCGCACTGCTTCGATAATGTTGAGCTTCAGGCTCTGGGGAGGCTAATCCATGACTGATAATGTTCCATTGTCTGTTTTTATCTCCAAGAATGCTTTTACTGCACTGGCACTGTGTTTGGAGTCCTTGTCCCAAACACTGAAAAATGGTTAAAAAAAGAAGTTGTTTTCTGTCAGGTTTTTCCAGATGATGTTGCATGGTGGATCATCTGAGAAGCTCCTTCAGTCCTAAAAGCAATTGGTGGAGAGTCCCAGATTTTAAGCCCTATGGGAGTGTCTCCAAGAGGATCATGGACCCCCACTGTTCCTCTGTCTAATCACCCAAGTGAAAATGGGTGTCGGTCACAATCAGGCAAGGTTTCAGGTGAACCCATTGTGAAACCTAGTCCCACCCTGCCGTGTGATTTACTGAGGTCAAAAGGCCCAGGTTGTGAGTGGGTGATAAGGCGTCTGTGAAGTGAGAACCATTTCAGGTGATTACATCATGGAGCTCATTGAGAAAAGGCCAAGGGTTTGCAGCGCTGTCAACAAAGCTAAGGGTGGTTCAGGAATCTAAAA